GGAGCCGGAATTCCGGGATGAGTCGTACACAACAACGATTCATTGGGCTCGAGGAATCTTGAGTTTCGCCCATCTTAAAAGAATCTAAGAGAGATATTGATTTCGGAATGGTGATATTTTTTAGCTACAAAAGTTATATTTTGAGAAGTGAGACTTCTTTTGAGATGTTAATTGTTTGGAGCTTATAAATATTATTTTTTTAATTATAAGGGTATTTGAGATTATAAAGTTGATAAATGATGTTTTTATTAGAAAAGAATTTTGGTGGAGTGAGTTCATTCTATATAGTATTATATGAAAAACTATTTTTGACAAACATGATTATTTTACGGGGTTGGGTAGTGTACTTACTTAGCTAATTTTTGTTTCCTTTTCTTTGTTTTGTTTTCTGCACTTTATTTGTGCAGGTAACGATGAATATGAAGCTCATGATGTTTGACCAGCCTTGAGAGCGCTTTAGAAGATTTTAGTGTAGTTTTCACTTAGATTAAATAATGCTAGTAAATTTTCAATTTAAGTTTTTAATTTGGTTGAACTCATGGTGGATAGCCTTAGCATCCAGCCAAGTTGAGGGTTGGGTGTGGCGGTAACACACATGTTTCCCATTATTATTTCTGCTGCAAAACTCTATCTATTTTGAATGAATAAATCAAGGTTGTTATCAATATATTATTATTTCAAGTATTATTTTGGGCGGGAAAATGGGGGTGTTACACATGGGTAAACTTTGAACATGTTTGGGTTAAAAACTACTCCTGTCGTTTCTAAATTATCTTTCAAAGTACATTTGGCACGAGATTAAGATAGTGAGTATTGTGTGGTTGAAGGTTGTGCAAAAGGGAGGAAAATGTTTGAAAATACGTAAGAAATTATGTGAACCACAAATTCTTTGCCAAATAAAAGCAAAGTTAATAATTATTTTGAAATGGACGAAAAAGAAAATTTGGAAGATAATTCAGGGGCCGAGGGAGCAAGTCTGTATGGAATCTTGGGGCTTATTAGAAGGAACTAAAGTAGTGCTGCAACTTCACCCGAATTCGAGAGTGCATGCAATACAACTCGAACATCTTGACGAAAACTCAGAAAAAGGTATTAATGATCCCTAATGGCATGGTTGGTTACCCAAAATGTGGCTCCCTTAAACGTGCAATAATGTAAACTTTATTACTCCATATAAAGGTTGTTTCCAATTTTTTAATACCTCACTACTTCAAATTCCTTTAAAATTTTAGCATGGCTAACACTTGTTCTACCTGTGAAATATCAACTCCAGGAATCCTCTTCACTCATTTTTGTTATTGCTTTCTTTGTTTTAAAATCAAATCATGTGATGAATGCCATGCCACTTTTCTTCACTTCCTACCCTTTCTCCTATTTAGAAAGAAAGCTTATTCTTATATTTCCTCTAGTCAGCTGCTCCACATAATTAGATATGGGCACTATCATAAGTTGTCCAATATCAAGAAAGAACCTAAACATGGTATTCCCAAAGTTTGGTAAATCTTCTTCATCTAGATTAGCCATAACACTCTCTACTGCTTTTGGGGATTGCAATAACAATTGATCTTGAATTCATATCACTTCTCAGCTCCTCTTCATCTATCATTAGTACAAATCCTCTCATGCTCCTGAAAATGAGAGAAGCCCGACATTCACTCAACATATACATGTAACCATTAGTACTCCTCCCATTTTTTAATATTTGAATCCTTCATAGTCCACTTCCAGAAGAGAAAGTTTAACCTTAATTAATGTACAACATTGTTTATAATGTCCTAGGTGCTCAAATCTCCCTATGTCATCAAAACCATTGTCCTAACTCTGAAACATTCAGAATACAAATTCCATTATCAAATTAAAATCCCTATAGGTTGCTCATCTCAATGCCCTAGTTTATTGCCTTTCCACATATCACCCCCTACCCTCATATACACACAAGTACACAACTAACTTCCCTCAAGTATAGCAGTATGATTCCTAATGATACCAAATTTAAAAAACTCTAGACCCACAATATTGCATGCATATAATTCCTAATGTCAAACATTCATTATCATTTTGACTTACCACCTCAGTGTTGCTTAACTCGACAACGGTATTGCTTGTGAAATCATGGCATGGAGATCGTTCCTTATTCACTGTCATACTTTCATCAGCCACGTTATTTGTTTCCATTTTTGTGTTTTTATTGCTAGGAGGTTTTCTTTCCGGTAGCGCACGCCTCTTTCGCATTTTCGGGAAGATCAATACTATTATTTCGCCCGAACTTGATGCATTCAAGTCAGACTAATAAAAACCGCTACCTTTTGTCTGCATCTACCAATAAAAGGTCGTGACAACAGCCATTAGTGTAGATGTATAGACCGATTATGAATGTTTATACTTTATAGACTACTCTATACTTCCTTAATTCTTTGTTAGTTATAACATTCTAATTTTCACGTTTCTAATGCACAACTTTGACCGTCATTATATAACAATTACTCGTATTAAATGAACATAATCTAAGTGGTGTGTCATATATATAAGTATGCATCATATATATACATTCAACTTCTGTAAATGAATATATTCACCGATCATCTTAATAATGGTGGTGAGGATGCGCCATCATGGAGAGAGATCACACTTTCGAAAACACCGATCAAAGTCCTCACATTTTTCTCTGCTTCTGTTTGTCTGTCAGTCATCCTACGACCTGACAACAACTCCACAGGATCTTCCTCTCCTCGTACAAATATGTCCGGAACCACAACTTTCCTCGGACTAACCGCCTCTTTACACAACGTTCCATATATACTATTCCCTCTCCCTATAAGATCGGAACTTTCTTTCTCCATATCTTCTGAACATTTCTTATCAGGCGGCGCTGCTGGTTGTTCTTTACATTCTTCAATCACGTATATTGTCTTCTCTGGAGGGTATTCCTCCTCTTGATCTTCCCGCCTGGGAATGATGCTGCTGGTTCTGGTTCTTCGGGTCGTTCTTGATCGAGAAAACATTGGCTTTGCATTTGATATGCTCAGATTTTCTGGAGATCCTAAAACTTGTCTGTTTCTTGTTGCAGAGGACTCTGTTTTTGTCTTAGCGGCTGCAGATTTCTTGTCCTTGTGTATATTAGATTTTATATGACAGGTTTTTGACGAAAATTGTTTCTTTTTCTCAGGGATCTTCTTGCATTTATCATGACAGGACGACAATGGAGGGGAGAGATAGCGTGGCAAAACCATCATCTTGTTGGGTTTATGAGCGTTTATTGTGTTTGGTATTGAAGGAATGTCATCCAAGGCTTCTCCTGCCATTGATTGGAATAATATAAACAATAGGTATGTAAGCAATTAATATCATCTATATCAAATGGAGACAATGATACAGAGTATCAAATTCGAAAAAATGAAACCCATAGCTTAATTTCAGGAAAAGGTTAATATCCGGCCTTATCAAATGGACGTACGTTTGTGGGGGTCTCGATCGGTGTATCTGTATCGTGAGGTGATGCGCGTTTGTAGCAACTGTGATGCATATACACAGTTTTCTTACAGTTCGCCCACCATGAGTTTTCTTACCGTTCGTATATGGTGTACCGGCCCACCCTCAGTATCCTGTATATGCCCAAAAGACATAGTTGACTTTATTTAATCTAAAAAGCACAAACCAGTAAACGGATCTCTTAGCGGCGCGTTTTTTCTTTCTCGAGCAGTTATTCGCTTCACTTCCTCCCATATTCTTCAATCGTGTCTTTTCAAATTCAGAAAAAACATTTGCGAGAAACTTTCTCCACCATTTCTCTCTTCGAAGTTTCATCAGAAAAAATCTCAACAAAACTTTATTGCTGAAGTACATCCACTTGCGAGAGGAAAAGAAAGCATTCCGTCCGATGGAAAAGTAAGGAATCCGAACAAAGAACAAGGTTCTGCAGATCGACACGATGACTAGGGCTAGAGAATGAACTTTACTTTATGAAGTTCGAAATGTATATAGGAACATCTAACAATTTGTTTTATGTGATATCCTGCTCTAAATTTAAACATGCATGTAATCTAATAGATTCCAAGTCAAACTCAGAAACGAAAGAAATTGAGTATTGAATAATGTGATTTATGTCTTATTGAGATGTCAATTTGAACATGCAAAGTATGTATGTTAAGATCTAACTTCAATTGTTGTTACAAATTTTGAGTTTCAACGTACTGTATATTAAGAGATGTAACTGCAATTATTGTTAAAAATCGTTAAAATGTATGTAAGTACTGGTATGAATCAAGTAAATTGTGTATGTTAAGATATAACTGGTTTATTTCAACAAGATGCTCAATTTGTGTTCAAAATGCTCTGTAAGAATGATGTAATCACTGATGTAACTACTGCTATGAATTATGTAAATTGTGTATGTTAAGATGTAACTGCAATTTTTGTTGGAATTCCTAAGTTTCAATGCTTAAAACTTATATAACTACTGGAATTGCGAAACAAAATGCTCAATTTCTGTGCTTAAATGATGTAAATACTGCTATGAAAACATATGTAAGTGCTGGTAGAATCAAGTAAACTGTGTATGTTAAGGTATAACTGGTTTATTTCAACAAGATGCTCAATTTGTGTACAAAATGCTCTGTAAGAATGATGTAATTACTGATGTAACTACTACTATGAATTATGTAAATTGTGTATGTTAAGATGTAACTGCAATTTTTGTTGGAATTCCTGAGTTTCAATGCTTAAAACTTATATAACTACTCGAATTGTGAAACAAAATGCTCAATTTCTGTGCTTAAATGATGTAAATACTGCTATGAAAACATATGTAAGTACTGGTAGAATCAAGTAAACTGTGTATGTTATGATATAACTGGTTTATTTCAACAAGATGCTCAATTTGTGTACAAAATGCTCTGTAAGAATGATGTAAATACTGATGTGACTACTGCTATGAATTATATAAATTATGTATGTTAAGATGTAACTGCAATTTTTGTTGGAATTCCTGAGTTTCAATGCTTAAAACTTATATAACTACTCGAATTGTGAAACAAAATGCTCAATTTCTGTGCTTAAATGATGTAAATACTGTTATGAATTAAGTAAAGTATGCATGTCAATATGTAAGTATAATTGTTCTACAAAATGCTCTGTAAGAATAATGTAATTACTGATTTGCATCATATACAAATTAATTACTGACAGGGGTAACTCTGATGATAATATTCCACCAAAAGAACAACCACCACCTATACAAATGATAATAGATGAAAATTCAACAACAAGTGCACGCAATACGCGAAAAAGGAAGACTCGTGCTATACAAGAAATAGAAGAAGGGTCTGGAAGGGAAATAATGGAGAACATTTCTGCTGCTGCGGGTGCTTCAATAAATTTGAGGACTAGAGTTGGACCTGCTCCATTTGTAAGGCTAATCAAAGGATTAAGTGAAAAACAAAAGACAATTGTTCAGAAAATAGGATTTGGGTCTTTGCTACACCTGAGCTTTGATAAGTTCCATGGAGACTTTGTTCAATTTCTACTGGAAAACCTGAGACCAATATATGCACAACTCAAGCTTACAATTGGAGAGTTCTTAGATATTGAAGAAGATGATGTTAAAGTTGTGTTTGGCTTGCCCAAAGGAGAGAAAGATGTTGTCGAAGCAAATGGAAAGAATGAAACAGAAGACTACACTGAGCTGCTGAAAGAATGGAGAGCAGAGTGGGGCATTGAGAAAGGCAACCCACAAACAACATCAATGACAGAAAAAATCCTTCAGGATGATGATGATGGAGATAAGTTCATCAGGAATTTTGTTGTCTTCACAGTCTCTTGTTTGATAAGAGGCAACCAGAGTGTGAAGAGCAACATCAAGATCTTGCTTTCTTTAGTAAATGTTGGTGAAATCAAAAATCTGAACTGGTGTAAATACACAAGACAGTCACTCATGGATGCTGGAGAAGAATGACAGGCCTATCCATCAAGAATGTTTACTGGACCTTTATTGTTTCTAATGATTTGTTACTTTGATAGGCTGCAATTCAAAGGACAGGTTTTGGTCAATGTTTTTCCTGCAATAAAATTCTGGATCAAAGATAGAATTGATAAAAGAGTGAAAGATGAGAGGAAGCTGGGATTTGGACTTGGCAAGGTGAAGCCCAGAATCATGCCTGTAGAAGAAGAAACTGAACAGAAAGGAGATGAGCTGTTGACAAAGGAAGTAAGTTTTATTAGTCATTTACATCAAGTACTTGAAGAGTTTAGATTTCTGAATTTTACATAATGTAAATTGTGCTCAAGAATATGTAACACATGTTGTTTAAAATGTAACTTCTATTGGTATAAGATGTAAACTGTAGTTGTCTAAGCCAAATGATGTTAACTGTTTTACTATGACATGTAAGTCTTGCCTATCAAAATGTAAACTAAGGTGTTGTGGAATGTAAAGTTCTGAATGATTATTCCACTGTATTACAATGTATGTGATATGACAATTTCTAGTTCATTTTTAATTTTTATAGGAGTGTGAGAAGGAAATTGTGGCAGTCGCCCAAAAATTCAGTGATGCATTTGTTGAGTTTTCCAAGCTACCGTCAACCATTTCTAAGAAGTTCCCAAATTCTGATATATTGAAGAAGATATATTTGACAATTGCTGATTACTTTATTAATCAAGCAAATGGAGATCAGAACATGGCCCATAAAGAAAGATTATCAGAGAAGTGTGTACTTGAAGAAGATGATGATTTTTTTAATGAGCCCGGAACTATGGAAGCGCTTGAGAAACTGGAGAAAGCAGCATTTCTGAAATTTGCAATGCCTTCATTTGATTTAGGCATTGAGTTTAACATGACTCAGGGTGCAAGCACTTCAAAAGTGGACCAAAATGCTATGATGACTGAAACTGCTGCTGATGTGGAAGCTGTGATGACTGAAAATGTTGCTGATGTAGAACATGTGATGACTGAAACTGCTCCTGATGTAGAAGATGTGGTAATTCAAACTGTTGGTGATCTAATAAACCAAAGTGCTGCTACTGGAGAAGATAATGAAGAGGTTGGGGTAGCTGGAGAGGACAAAACTGCTGCAGGTGAAGAATTAAACAAAGAAGTTGAAAATAAACAAGAGTAAGTGTTAAAGTTTTATTATGTAATTCATTAATGTGTTTAATTAACTTAATGAAGTTAACATTTTGTTGTTTTTTCAAAGGAATGTTGAGCTAAAGCCATACACAAGAAAGAGGAAGCTTAAAAAGTTAGGTGATGTAAGTGTGAATTACAGATCACCATTTCTCAAGAACAACAGAAGACTGTGCAAGGAAATGAGCAGGGATGTGATAACCGCTTTCGCGGCGTTGTAGTAAAACGGAGTCTAACCTTTCGGTTTTTCCCCGAGTATCGTGTCTCTTGAGCAATGGCGGAGGAGTTTCTTGATTTTAAGCCCAGTCACAGGTTATAGCAAATTATTAGAAACTTTCCATATTAAAACTTTTGATTGGTTTTCTAAACTAATTTTTTTGAAAAAGAAAGTAATTTAAATTATGCAAATACTAATGATGGCTCAAAAATAAACTAAATGAAAAATATTAAACTCTAAATGGATTGATCAAAGAAGGGCAATGAATTGAATAATTAGAAATGGATATATTCTTGGACCTAGTAATTAGGGGAATTAAAACAAAAATTGGACTAATAATTTCTTTTCTCATAGACAAGAATAGAAATTACTTTCATTAATTTATCCTATTTCTAGGTTTCATCAATGTATTCAAAAATGGTTGGCTTGAATTAAATTCTAATATCATAGACAAGACAGAAATAATTCTCCAATATTTTGTTCAATAAAAATAGCCAAATTCATTAACTAATTAAACTCATTAATTAAGCAATTTGAATTTAATTCTCATAGACAAGATGTAAACCCATTTCATTAAAATTTCCTATTTCTAGGCCTTATTAACGTCCTTAAATATGGTTGTCTCAAATTATTTTCTAATCCCATAGAAAAGTTAGAAATAATTTTCCAAAATTTAATTAATGAAAATGACTAACAATTATTAATTACTATTTCATCAATTTTGAATAACTAGTCCAATTAATTAATTTTAACCCCTAATTTTAAATACTCCCAACATCTAAGCATTCGTTTCTTTCACAAATAAACATTATTTATACTACGTGTTGAGGGTAAATCTCGTAGATCCGAAAGCCCAACACGAACTTTGGATATATCAGGAATGGTACAGAATCAAAGTGTATAACCAAAATATAAAATATGAACTCACTAATACTCGAAAGCTCACTTGTATTAATTAACCAGTCTGATTACAAGGAAATTCCTGATCGGTAGGTCGGAAATAGTGCTTTAATACAAGAAATAAGAGCAATAATGCTATTCTAGAACCTGAGTATTGAAAATGCTAACCCTTACAATGATTCTAAACCTTCTATTTATACTAATGGAGAGCATGGGCTGCCCTATGCTGATTGGCTGCTGTTCCACCGACTTGGTCACCCATGTTTCCACTTACTGATGTCACAATCTAGCATTAATTGCACCTGGCCACTTGCCGGTTTTCCGTTGCTCGAACGGGATGTTGGACCATGCTGAACACGCTGTCAAATTGGCCCAAGTAAGATATATAGTCCGAACTCCGTTCGGTATATCTTCTTTCTGGGCCGGCCTTTACTTGGACCGAATTCTGTTCATTATATCTTCTCACTGGGCCAACCCTTTCTTGGGCCAAATCTCGTTCGGCATGAAATCTTCACTGGATCTACTTATCATAGAGTGATGGGCTCGTCATTCGGGCCTGGTATCTTGGGCCTTCTTGATCCGGGTATTGGGCCTCTGGATCAATATCCCAACACTAGGTATTGAGGTTGTCTAAGTAGGAGATTAATATATGATAAACCCAAAATACAAAACAAACGAACAATCATAGCATGATAAAGAAGAAGCAGATAGAAAGATATGGAGAAGATGAACCAAATCTGGTATACCGTATAAACTGGCCGCTGCTCTCCCCGGAGAAGGAGAGCAGCGGCAAACCCTAATCTCTCTATCTCTACGCCTCTGTTCTCTGAAAGCCTCTCATGGTGGTTTGGGTTCCCGTAAGTTAGCCTACTTTTATAGGAGAAGTTGACTAACTTACGGGTTACAAGGAAGCTGACGGGCTGATTCACATTTGTGGCCCGTATTACACGTTTAATTAATAACTACACAAATACAAAGATATTTAATTAGATTGGACACCATAAAATATTCCTAACAATCTCCTCCTTGGTGTTCAATCGTGTTGAATCAGCATTGCAGCGCAGATATCTTTGTCTTTGTTGTTATTCAGCTTCCTTTGTCTTTGAACTTGACTTCTGAGGAAGACTTTCTGAAGAAGTCCTTGCAATCTCCCCTTTGATGTCTTCTTGGCAATTTGTTCTTTGATGTCGGGGGTTGAGGGATCTTCAGTATCTTGCATGTAGTCCTTGCCTTCCAGAAGTTGCTCTTGATCAGCTTGGATGAAGTCTGGTGACGCCTCTAGAATGAATATTCTTTGGAGAATAGGAGACGCCCATGGAATTCATCTTCGAGTTTGAGTATCTGACATTTGTCCCCTCCACAATGTAGTCTTTTTGACTATTTGAAATGAATGCATTTGAGGAGAACTTGTCGGTGGCACAGCGGAACATAATGATGGTTGACTTGTGAGTGTAGCTGACCATTTGAGTTGCGGAGATAGTGGAGAGAGTGTTGGAGGAGAGAAGTGTCCGAGAATGATTTTTTTGAGTTAAACAACATGTGGAACACTCTCCCCCTCATGACGGTCCGATGAATCGGGGCGTCATGCCTTTATTCTTTTATTCTGCAGAAATAAAATAGGAAAAAGAAGCAGAATGTAAAGAAGATAACGTATCCCCCTGGGGTCGTGTAGACGCCCGTTATCATCACTATAGAGATAAACTCTATAGCAATGGCCTTAAAATGTTGGTGATTCTTATGTTGCAATAGCAGGACTTCCTTCCAATCGTTGGTCTATATCTGTAATAGATGAGCCCTATAGAAGTTCTTGCAAGTCTTGAAGATTAGCAACTGACTCTAAAATGTGTCCGTGTCCTAGAAAATTTCAAAACATTTGGGAGTGAGTAACTAGACACGACGTGATCGATGAAAGTTCAGTGGCATGGGGCTGAGGCCACTGTAGTCAGTATTATTTGCCTGAGAATGAGACAATAATGAGAGATGCGGTTCCCCGTGAAATATGATTAAGCACCTGTCTGTTCGGAGACAAGTGAGTGGTCTTGGGTAGGGTTAAACATGCACTATTGGACAAGATGCAGTGACTTCAACCCGGGATCTGATTAAATCAGTCCTGAACCTATTTGGGAATTGTCCAGAGTATTTGAGTGGCTAGGAGTAAATGTTCAATACATAGCAGGTAGTTGAGGTAGCAGACTCATCATTGATAATCGTTTTCCTTCTCACTTGAGCCTTCTGGTTCCTAACTCTCATAATGATTACTCACTCACTCACTCACTTACTCTCGGCTTTGTCCCTTGGGTAGGCTTAGTTGGGTTTACTTAGCCATGGGAACATGTTCTCTCATTGATTTTCTCTCTATACTCCCCCTCAACTGGAGCACTCGGTGTGCTTTGTCATTGTTAGGCACCGGGGAGGATAACATTGAACACTCCCCCTAGAATGTTGCATCCGTTGAGAGATTCCTTGCTTTGTCGGTGTAAGGCGCCAGGAGGAGAAAACTGAAACTCCCCTTCAGAATGTGCAAGGTTTGATTGCTCACAGCTCGTCATACCCTCCATGTGTGTGGAGCAATTTGAACAGGTACCACACATGACGGTTTCCCTAAGCTCATCATTTGGAATTTCGGCATGTTTGAGGATCACACAATGTTGATGAGTTAGGGGAGGCTTCAGCAGTTGATTGTTGATTGTTGTAAGATGACCGTTGACGCGAGGTTGATTGAATTATCTACGATTTTCGGACCTATACAGTGCAGCTTAGAACTTAGGTTTGACTTTGGAAGAATTTGAACAAATTTGCCTAAGTTTTGACCTTGACATCGGTGATTTACAAAGTTTGCCGGAAAACTAACGTTTTGACCCTCAAGGACTGCGAGTGAGGGCGCGTGAGAAAGGGTTCTGGGTCATATATCCCGGGAATTAATGTATATCTTTTCGTTAGCTTTCCAACAAAAAAAAGTTTGCTAAAATCGGATCACCGAGCCAAAACAGTGCGGTGTCGCAGAAAATCTCGAATTTTTTAGTTTTTTAGGAATTTCTTCGAAGTTGAGGTGCTCGATGTTGAATATCGAGAACAGGTGGGATTAAGGAAAATTGTAAGGCAATACCTCGAAATCCTAATCTCGAGGTTTAAATCTCGAGATTCCGATCTCGAGGTTTAAATCTCGAGATTCCGATCTCGAGGTTTAAATCTCGAGATTCCGATCTCGAGGTTTAAATCTCGAGATTCCGATCTCGAGGTTTAAATCTCGAGATTCCGATCTCGAGGTTTAAATCTCGAGATTCCGATCTCGAGGTTTAAATCTCGAGATTCCGATCTCGAGGTTTAAATCTCGAGATTCCCATCTCGAGGTTTAAATCTCGAGATTCCCATCTCGAGGTTTAAATCTCGAGATTACAATCTCGAGGTTTAAATCTCGAGATCTTAATCTCGAGTTTGCCTCGAAGAATAATGACGAAATCCACCTGCAAAACAAACCTACAGTCTTCGAAATCTTCAGAATTTCAAAATGTTTGGAACATCGAAAACTTTGGAGTTTCGAAAAGCTCAGAAAATCGAAAACTTGCTGTTTGAAAAACATCCGAACATCAAAAACTTCTAAAAACATCGAGATCTCAGAACATGAAAGATATCAAGTTAAGAAGAAATCAGTGATTCAAGAAACTCCAAACTTTGAAACATTCAAAACATCAAGAAATTCCTAAAATCTCGAAATCTTTCAGAATGTCGAGATCCTAAACATCGAGATCTCAAATGTCGAAATCCCAAAAACTCGAAATTCCAAACTCGAAATTTCAAAACTCGAGTTCTCAAAACTCAAAATTTCAAAACTCGAGATTTCAAAACTCGAGATTTCAAAACTCGAAATTTCAAAACTCGAAATTTCAAAACTCGAGATCTCAAAACTCGAAATTTCAAAACTCGAAATTTCAAAACTCGAGATTTCAAACCTCGAAATTTCAAAACTCGAGATGAGGAATTCGAGGCCCTAAATGTCGAGATCCTGCAAAAAGAAAACTTCGATTTGTGAAAATCTGAAAACTGTTCTGAATAGCCCTGAAGGTCGAGATTCTCCTGTATCAGTTTCAAGTCAAAATCGTTTCTGCAGCCAGGTAAAATCAGAAAACTCGAGATCCTAATGTAGAGATCTTCGAGATTGAAAAATTGCAGAAAACGAAAACAGAGATATGTTGTAGAATCGGTTTTGAAAGGCGATTCCAACAGTATAATTTTTATAAAATATCGTTCACAAACAAGATTACAGGAGCAAATCTCTACATCAAAGAAAAAGAGAAGAAAAGCAGGGCAGTTCTTCGTTAGATCCAAAAAAATCACAGATTGATTCAACCTTTTTCACGCCTCGGCTCTGATACCAATTCATAAACCCAAAATACAAAACAAACGAACAATCATAGCATGGTAAAGAAGAAGCAGATAGAAAAATATGGAGAAGATGAACCGAATCTGGTATACCGTATAAACTGGCCGCTGCTCTCCCCGAAGAAGGAGAGCAGCGGCAAACCCTAATCTCTCTATCTCTACGCCTCTGTTCTCTGAAAGCCTATCACGTTGGTTTGGGTTCCCGTAAGTTAGCCTCCTTTTATAGGAGAAGTTGACTAACTTACGAGTTACAAGGAAGCTAACGGGCTGATACACATTTGTGGCCCGTATTACACGTTTAAATAATAACTACACAAATACAAAGATATTTAATTATATTGGACATCATAAAATATTCCTAACAATGTTCAAATCGTAGAGGTCCAAAAATCGTAGATAATTCAATCAACCTCGCGTCAACGGACATCTTACAACAATCAACAATCAACTGTTGAAGCCTCCCCTAACTCATCAACATTGTGTGATCCTCAAACATGCTGAAATTCCAAATGATGAGCTTAGGGAAACCGTCATGTGTGGTAGCTGTTCAGATTGCTCCACACATATGGCGGGTATGACGAGCTGTGAGCAATCAAACCTTGCACATTCTGAGGGAGAGTTTCAGTTTTCTCCTCCTGACGCCTTACACCGACAAAGCAAGGAATCTCTCAACGGATGCAACATTCTAAGGGGAGTGTTCAATGTTATCCTCCCCGGTGCCGAAAAATGACAAAGCATACCGAGTGCTCCAGTTGAGGGGGGAGTAAAGAGAGAAAATCAATGAGAGAACATGTTCCTATGGCTTAGTAAACCCAACTAAGCCTACCCAAGGGACAAAGCCGAGAGTAAGTGAGTGAGTGAGTGAGTGAGTGAGTGAGTGAGTGAGTGAGTGAGTGAGTGAGTGAGTGAGTGAGTGAGTGAGTGAGTGAATGAGTGAGTGAGTGAGTGAGTGAGTGAGTGAGTGAGTGAGTGAGTGAGTGAGTGAGTGAGTGAGTGAGTGAGTGAGTGAGTGAGTGAGTGAGTGAGTGAGTGAGTGAGTGAGTGAGTGAGTGAGTGAGTGAGTGAGTGAGTGAGTGAGTAATCATTATGAGAGTTAGGAAGCAGAAGGCTCAAGTGAGAAGGAAAACAATTATCAATGATGAGTCTGCTACCTCAACTACCTGCTATGTATTGAACATTTACTCCTAGCCACTCAAATACTCTGGACAATTCCCAAATAGGTTCAGGACTGATTTAATCAGATCCCGGGTAGAAGTCATTGCATCTTGTCCAACAATGCATGTTTAACCCTACCCAAGACCACTCACTTGTCACCCAACACACAAGTGCTTAATCATATTTCACGGGGAACCGCATCTCTCATTATTGTCTCCTTCCGAGGCAAATAATACTGACTACAGTGGCCTCAGCCCCATGCCACTGAACTTTCATTGATCACGTCATGTCTAGTTACTCACTCCCAAATGTTTTGAAATTTTCTAGGACACGGACACATTTTAGAGTCAGTTGCTAGTCTTCAAGACTTGCGAGAACTTCCATAGGGCTCATCTATTCCAGATATAGACCAACGATTGGAAGGAAGTCCTGCTGTTCAACATAAGAATCACCAACATTTTCAGGCCATTGCTATAGAGTTTATCTCTATAGTGATGATAACGGGCGTCTACACGACCCCGAGGGGCTACGTTATCTTCTTTACATTATGTTTCTTTTTCCTATTTTATTTATGCAGAATAAAAGAATAAAGGCATGACGCCCCGATTCATCGGACCGTCATGAGGAGGAGAGTGTTCCACATGCTGTTTAACTCAAAAAAATCATTCTCGGACACTTCTCTCCTCCAACACTCTCTCCACTATCTCCGCAACTCAAATGGTCAGCTACACTCACAAGTCAACCATCATTATGTTCCGATGTGCCACCGACAAGTTCTCCTCAAATGCATTCATTTCAAATAGTCAAAAAGACTACATTGTGGAGGGGACAAAGGTCAGATACTCAAACTCGAAGATGAATTCTATGGACGTCTCCTATTCTCCAAAGAATATTTATTCTAGAGGCGTCACCGGACTTCATCCAAGCTGATCAAGAGCAACTTCTGGAAGGCAAGGACTACATGCAAGATACTGAAGATTCCTCAACCCCCGACATCAAAGAACAAATTGCCAAGAAGACGTCAAAGGGGAGATTGCAAGGACTTCTTGAGAAAGCCTTCCTGAGAAGTCGAGTTCAAAGACAAAGGAAGCTGAATAACAACAAAGACAAAGATATCTGTGCTGCAATGCTGATTCAACACGATTGAACACCAAGGGGGAGATTGTTAGGAATATTTTATGGTGTCCAATCTAATTAAATATCTTTGTATTTGTGTAGTTATTAATTAAACGTGTAATACGGGCCACAAATGTGTATCAGCCTGTTAGCTTCCTTGTAACCCGTAAGTTAGTCAACTTCTCCTATAAAAGGAGGCTAACTTACGGGAACCCAAACCAACGTGAGAGGCTTTCAGAGAACAGAGGCGTAGAGATAGAGAGATTAGGGTTTACCGCTGCTCTCCTTCTCCGGGGAGAGCAGCGGCCAGTTTATACGGTATACCATATTCGGTTCATCTTCTCCATATCTTTCTATCTGCTTCTTCTTTATCATGCTATGATTGTTCGTTTGTTTTGTATATTGGGTTTATAAATATAACAACACGATCTAATTTTCTTGAAATAAAATGGAAAACACGAAACTATTAAAATTAATTCAGAGAATTTTTCACAATTATTTTGAAATAAAAACAATATATTCAGAATCTACACGACGAGAGGATGAATTTCCATATAAAGAACTTACAAATTGGAGCTAAAATGAAAAAGATATGAAAGATTGAAGTTGAAGGTGCAACAATGGCGGAAATCGGAGCTTTGAAGAGGAGGAAGAAGAAGACATTTTTGAATTAGTTTCGGGCTAAGAATGGTTTCTTTTGGGATGAGGAAAAATCGGGCTATTTATAGCAGCAAAAATACCGTAGGCGGCCGCCTTCCATCCCATCACCGGCAGTCGAACGTGCGCCGGTCCATTCATCCGCCGCAGGCGGCAGCAGGCGGCCGCCTGCCGTCAAATCCCACCGGCCGGTGGTTGGTTTTTTGCCTTGTGCCGCAGGCGGTCACTGAAGGCGGCCGCCTTCCGTCCTGTGTCGGCAGCATTCGGTCTTCTCCGGTCCGGTCAAAAAATCCAAAAATGCTGACTTTCCAAAAATAGCGTAGGCGTCCTGGAAGGCGGCCAATCTGGGCGCCTATTTGGGCGCCTGTGAGATTTTTTCTGTCTTGTTCTGTATTTTGTTCTCTTCAATTTTCCCTTCTGGACCACTTTTAAATTATGCTTCCTTCTTTCGGTATGATATCATTTTTCACTCAAATTGACTCATTGTGTGCTTAATTGACCCGAAATTTCGTCAAACATATCATGGACGTGATTTTTTACCTGATTTCACGAAACTTGAACCAAAGTATATAAAACATGCCTTGTTTTTCTATTTTTCAATCCAAAATCACTTAAATTTGATAATAAAAATAAGTACAAAAATGAACTTATCGGGATGAAAAGATTGTTCTTGACTATGGCATGTCAAAAGAAGTTGAAAAGTAAGAAAGTCCAATATTATATAATGTATTAGTTCAATAGAAACATTATCTCATAATTAACTGTTTCAATTTGTTTGAAAAATATTATTGTGTTAGTGACTGTGTCTATCAAGATGAGGGCGGTATTTTTATCACTCATAAGGAGTTTCTAACCCTTCAAGAAGAAGATATAGACAACTCCATCATTGATGCATTTGCAAAGATTCTGAATGACAGAGAAAAATCAAATAAGATATCACAACATTTGATATGGTAAAATGTCATTAATATTTGAATATACATGGTTCAAGTGTTTATGGTTTAAATATATGATTATGTAACTGCAACTGTTGAGTAATGTAAATTTTGATATGAATTATGTAAACTCTGTATTGTTTTATGTAAGTCAGTATGTAAGATATATTGTTTTAACAATATAGTTAAAACAAGTGGTGTAAAATAATATGTAACTGCAGGTGTTGAGGGATGTAAGTCCTGATATGAAGTATGTACATTCTGTTTTGGTTTATGTAACTGATGTCAGTGTGAAAATGAAATGCTTATGACTCATGTATATTGCAGATAATGTTTCCAATACACAAATCTGGGCACTATTATATCTACTGCTTTTACACAAAAACCAACATTGTTGATGTGATTGACAACCGCGTGCTTCCAGACGGGGTGATCTTTGAGGACAAATATGGCGAAACTTTTAAGAAAATGGTAAAAATTCAGTACAACTTTTCTGGAAATAACAAATGATATTATTCAATATTATTTTAGTCCATTAATGTAACTTCTTGTATAGGGTGATGGATTCAAAGTCTTTTGTGAGAAAGTGAAGATTTCAGATGGAAAGCCCAGAAATTGGATTCCCAGAATGTTATTTATGCCATGGAGACATAATGGCAATAATGTTGACTGTGGAATATTTGTTTTGCGCCACTTGGAGACATATCGTGGCCAAGGACACACATGGGATTCTGGCTTTGCACCTGCTGCTACAAATGACGGAATCAAAGCTCAAGTATTATTGTCTAAATTTAATAGTGAAAGGGAAAATATTGTGAAAAAAGCAAAAGAGTACCTTAAGATGTAATTGATTAATCTGGTAGGATTACTGTAAAAAAATTGTTGATTTTATGGAGGGGTGATGGTATGGATAAACTTAAAACATTTCTTGGTTTTATGCAGTAACTGGTGATGCAATGGACAACTTATATGTTTGAATTGGTTTAAGATATTATGATGTAAAATGCAACTTACATGTTTGGTTTATGATAATTTGATGTAAACTCCTTATATATGTTTTATGCAGACACGCACACACACACACACACACACACACACATATATATACATATATATAGGGGAGGGTTCAAATACAAAGAAGTCTTACCATGCAAAGTGAGAATTAATCTTGTGCATTCATTTCCAGATCTAATGGCTCAAAATGAGCCAAAAGTGAACTAAATTTGATCAAAAACGCGGTGGCAATTTCGTAATTAAAATGAAGTTTTTTGCCATTGCGAAAAAGTGCAACAGAAACACGCAAAAGTGCAACGCGGTGAGGAAAAGGTGCAACCGTTCGCACTTTGCACGGGAGAACCTCTTTTTATTTGATCTCTTCCCTATATATATATATATATATATATATATATATAAATATATATATATATATATATATATATATATACACATACATACATATATATATATATATATAACTTATGTAGGAATGAAATGTTATAGGCTAATATATTAACCTCATTCAAATCCATTAGGTATACATGTATTATACATCTGATGTAAACAATGACTACATCAAATGTAATTCACGTTACACGACCATGTAACTCAAGGCAAAAAGAGTGTAACAACTGTTACACAATAGTGATTGTGTTCACTATTCTGTAACTCAGAGTAAACAATATTGATTGTGTATTGTTTTTATAGTAGTGCTCTTTGACATCTGTAAACGAACAGTAAAGACAATATAAATTTCATTAAATCAAATGTAACTTTGGTTGCTACAAATGTAATAAACCACAATAATATATGTAAACTCTTCAACTTGTACAATAAAAAAACAACAAATGCCAAACATGTGTATATATCTATAACTAGTTCTGCATTTGGTTCACAACATGTGATTGCATGAAGTATGGAGAAAAAACTTGTGGAGATCAAATATATTAACCTCATTCAAATCCATTAGGTATACATGTAATATACATCTGATGTAAACAATGACTACATCAAATGTAATTCACGTTACAGGACCATGTAACTCAAGGCAAAAAGAGTGTAACAACTGTTACACAATAGTGATTGTGTTCACTATTTTGTAGTTCAGAGTAAACAATATTGATTGTGTATTGTTTTTATAGTAGTGCTCTTTGACATCTGTAATCGAACAGTAAAGACAATATAAATTCCATTAAATCAAATGTAACTTTGGTTGGTACAAATGTAATAACCCACAATAATATATGTAAACTCTTCAACTTGTACAATAAAAAAAATAACAAATGCCAAACATGTGTATCTCTATAACTAATTCTGCATTTGGTTCACAACATTCGATTGCATGAAGTATGGAGCAAAAACTTGTGGAGATCCAAGCACATGCATTAAGGACGTCATTCCTCCAACTGGATGAGCAAGATAACCTTGTGGAACCATGAAATTAACAGTGTCCTAGAATGAAACAAAAAAAAAGTAATGATCAGAAAAGATGCATTAAATATATAAAAAATAAAAAAAATAAATGAATACCTGTACAACAGATTGAGCAACTGCTTTTGAATTGCAGGCAACATTTTGTGATTTGGAACGGCGAGCTTTGACTATTTTGCACTGTTTTTCAACAGTACTTCTCTTTCGGGTATTTCACTGACCTTTAGGACGAGAGCGTGGAGGATCCAATATTGTCCTTGAAGCAGATTCGTCCACAACAGAAGCATTTCGTTGAATATCTAAAAAATGTTTAATAGACTCGTATCCTTGCTCACATACTCGCCTAGCTTCAGGAAAACCAGCACTTGCACCCAATACTGTGTTGAGTTTCCTAGTCATTTGCACTCTCCAAATAGAATCTTCCAATATTTTCCCAAACATAATATCGGTTCCTTGCGTAAGAGAAAGATTAACATTTGGCAGAATGGCAGCCTTTGTCCATCTAGACAATATATAAACTTGGGGAATACATTTGACACAATGGACATTATATATACGCAAAATGTGTCTGCACAAAATGCCAACTTCTGAAAACATCTTGCAAGTGCATGTCACTGTGTTGTCATTTTGATTAAAAGTAACGTTGTGTCTAATCAAATCTACCCCATTCAACCAAACATGATACTCATAATCATTACAATTTTGTGAGATTAATTTAAAAAAATGTGACATACCCTTCAAATATTGTTCTTGGAACAGTTTGAAAATCTCAAGGGTATACACATCTCTAGCATGAGAACTGTCTTGTAGCAATACTATCTCAACGGTGCCTTCAGAACATCTAAAATCATGACCATTTTCCTCTAACCTCCATTCATCAACAACATCACAAAACATTTTGAAAAAAGCACATAATGTTGTAGTTTTTGTAAGTCTTCTAGATATGGATCTATTTGTAGATTCACTTCTTTGGGAGGATAGAACACCACCAGAGAAGTAATCTTTTGAAAAAGCAGAACACCACTTTTCTTTATGACTGTACAACCTCTTCAACCATGTGTTGTCACTGCATTCATACTCTATTCAATCTGAAACAGATTTAAAAAGAAGACAAGATTACGTATGAAAACCATACATGTTACACCAAATAATTGAGCAAGTTACATCAAATAATTAAAAAGTTACATCAAAAAATAAATAACTTACTCATTCCGGTAGAAATCAAACTCTGCAACTATGTCACATCGCTTCACAACATAATCAAACAGAGGAACAAAATTTAACTTCTTGCATATATGCATGATGTGTTTCTTTAAATTTTCATCTATATGCCAAGTGCAGAGTCTATGTCTTGCTCCAGGAAACACAGATTTGATAGCCGCTGCCATGGAAAATGACTGGTCTGTCATGAAACTGATGGGGTGTTTACCACCCATAGATTTCAGAAAAGTCTGAAATAACCAAACAAAAGACTCCACCTTTTCGTTCAGCATAAAGCCACAACCAAACATTATGTTTTTACAGTGCTGATTCATACCAATAAACGGACCACAGATCATGTCATACTTGTTAGTCCTGTAAGTTGTATCATGCACAACTAGATCTCCAAACCTCTCATAATCGGATCTCATTTGACCGTCTCTCCAGGAAAAACAACTCAGTACACCGTCATGCAGCTCAAAATCAAAGAAAAAATCAGATTCCACTTCAGTCCTTTTCTTCAATATACCAATCAAAGTGTTCGAATCAGTACCATCAAACGTTTTACTTCTTTCAGATTCTAGAACGTTATAAGCATCACGTTTCGTGAATCCAAGAGCACTAACACCACCAGTCTGTTTTTGAAGCATCCTGTGAACATCTGAAACCTTTGTCCCACTCTCCTTCATCAACATAATAAACTCAAGATACTCACGATCAATGCCTCTATGTGATTTCAGCAGGTGTCTTTTACCAATTGGACAAAAAGCATAGTTGTGATCAATAATATGCTTTGAAACAGTCCATTCACCATCAATACTAATACAAAACTGTAACTTCGCTTTACAACCAGAATGATAATCTAACTTCGTATACATTTTGTTTTCAGTACCCTTTTGTTCTTTCTTCCCTTCTTTCCAACAACAGTAAGACTTCATAATCAAACTTACATTGCCACTCCTAAACCTCTGTTTATATCTACGAATACCAAATCCATTTTCAAAAGCATGATCATTGTAAAGATTATAAGCATCCTGTTCACACTTGACACTAAGCCCAATAAGTGATTTACTCTCAGTTGACTGATGATCAGTTTCCAATGAACCTGACAATTTACAAAGCATATATATGAAAAACAAACAACAACTACATACATTGGAACTAAGTTACATTAAATTGAACTGAAGTTACATATCATGTAACACAAGTTACATAAAATTGAGATACAAGTTAAATACAATTGAAGATACATGACGGAATAAGTACCTTTGCTAAGAAGATGTAACAATTTAGAAGCTTTTGAAACAGTATCTTCTTCTCCTGAATGTAAAATCAACAAATATGAATACTCATACAATCCAAATTCTCAAGCAATCGTATAAAACAGAGAACAAAAGATATTAGACAATACTGCAAGCACAAATAAACGAAATTCACACAACTACTTCAATTCAACATTAATACTTACCGATCAATTCAACATCAATCATTTGATCAACTTCGAAATCATTGTCACCAATTGAATGAATGATGTTATCGCGTGTATCAGAAGCAAAAGTATCTCGCAATCCAATTGAAGAATCAACAAGAACAGAATCATCGACAGAAAAATCCATTGAAGAAGCCTAGAAAACGTATCGAAGAGATGACAGAGTAAGGAGAAAAATCCGTTAATGTTGAGCTGCAGAAATCTTCGATCGGTTAATCCCAAGATGAAACCTAATTTTTTAATAAATTGAACGACGACGTTTTGGGATCGGGCACACCATCCTCATGGTGCGCCGATCCCAGGATATAAATTACGGTTTTATTAGGCTTTGCTTAATTGTTTGGGCCTCTGGGTTTTGAGGGAGGGAGGTAACGTTTTGGAAACAAATCGAGACAAATGGCATAAAAGGTCACGGTGAAGCACAAGGAATTGAATGACTAAAAGATCAGGGTGAAGCTTTGTGCAGACAAAAATGTGAGTGTGTTATGTTTAGGACAAAAAAAATTGATTCAATGAGGGGTAAAATATCTTAATTACCCCTTCTCCCAACCCATTTTCTAATCTCTTGATTTTTGCGCTCAGGGCATCTCGTCCAGCGCCTAGATTTT